GTGTGTGACAAAACATGATCAAACAGGTGGAAGAAGCAACAAGACAATCATGGGGCGGACAGATTGCGGTACCCAATTCGGATAGTTTTGATATTTGTCACTGACGTATACCTAGAGTTAAAGCAATTATTTCCTGAAATAAACTTGAACAAGGAACACAACATTGTGTAGAGTATTTACAAACGCATGTTTAAGGAGTAACACAAAATTGTTCAACAGAAGAGTAAAACTTCCTGTGTGGAATTCAAAAAGTCAACCGTAACAGATCCGAACAAGCGGTAGATTCGTCAAAACTAGAACCTCCGTTGAACAAGGCCAAGATTAAAAATTCAGTGCTAAGATCGATGTACACTTGAACGATCCGTCTTCCTTGTGGGCATGCAAATATACCTTTTTTGTCAATGGATGAATAAGACGAACAGATAATGTGATTACCAATTTCAATAGCCCGAGCAGAACAAATACAGCTTTATTCTTTTGTGTGCTTTAATATTTCTCGATTCCTCCTTTGCAAAAGCATGGTTTGGCTAGGTGAAGTTAATCTTAAGCAGTTTGATGGGAAAAAAAACAGAGATTAGATTAGTCCGTTAAGGATAACAAGATTGGATTTTGATTGTGGATTTTTGTTTCGCTGAACACTAAAGGTGCTGAGGAAAGTGGATGAAATTACCCTAAGCGGTCAAAACGAACATACCTTGACAAATCCTGTCTGACCGGGGACCGCAAGGTTGAACCTCGTACATGCCAGTCGGGCAAGGACCAGAACATGCTGCGCGAAAGGACAAAACGATGGTAAGGTGAGAAATGTAGCCGAAGGTCGGCCGCATATTTTGTTTTTAGAAAAAAAAGCAGTTCGTATTTTACCAACTTCCAAAAGGCCTGAATTCCACCGGATAAGAGGACAAGTTTTGAACTTACGTTTGCATTCAACGGACTGATTTCTCTGGCAATCTCCAGATGCCCAAAAGCCACGTGGACATGTAGTGTTACAGTCTGTCAGGGGAGGGGTTGGGGGGGGGGGGGTTGGTGCAGAGAATTGCAAATAAAAGCAAAAGTTGGAAAGAAGCAGTCCGGTGATGATGAACCTCATTCAATTGACGTGGCAATTACTTAGTAAAGGTGTGAAAGTTTTAAACAATATCTCCAACGACCCCGCAAGGTATGTTGCAAACATGTGTCCAATTTGCAAGCACGATCAGATAATAGATTCAAAAAATCTTATTCCACTTAACGATCGAGATTTTAACACATTCTATATTAAACTTTAAAGTAAATTATCCAATTGGCGCATGATTCGTGCGATTAAGCATAGCACCAAGCGATCAAATGAAACTATATTGCTGCCGATAAAAGTTTCCAAACACAAACTGATGAGTGTACATCGCGTTCACAAATAAACCACGAAAAAAATCATGTTTTTTTAGAGTGATTAACACCGCTGTCAGATCAAAGCTATCTGTCATAGAAAACATGTGCAGTTGCGAAAGACCTCTGTCTGTCTGTCTGTCTGAATACGGCTTACCAAGACAGGGATGGCCTGAGTGACAGAGACAGGCGTAGTCTCCCGGTCGATTGGTACATACGCCACCCAGACGAGCACACTCGAGACGTAATTCCGGTCGGGCACACTCGTCCACATCCAGACAGACACGACCTTGTACGGTATCCAGATCAGCTCCGGAGATGCCTGAAAGAGAAATGGGAAAGGTCGGAACAGATGTGTCCATGGAACCCGGGACTTCACGGGGAGAACGCATGCATAGTGCACATTT